TCCACAATTCACCAAGACGGGGAGGCAACGCCGGGCGAATTACGCCACGATCTGCCGATGGATCTGGGCTAAAGGATCAGTCTCAAGTGTCGTCCGTTTGTTTCACTTAAAGGTTGTATAGAGGATTTTTTAAGGGAAAAGAAATACAGCGACAGTCCTTTTTCAAATGTTGAGCATGCGTGACACCACCTTCCTCCTCCACAGCTCCCCTCAGTAGAAACACCTCCTCCCGCCTCTTTACTCTAGAAATCACTCTTTTACAGCCAGTTACTGTTGAAGTGACCTGTCTAGATGTAATTTAGCGACCGACACGTCAGTTTTTAGACCCTTCGTCTGCTTCAGTCGCGCAATCGCTGGAAGGAATCTCCACGAATCACCTCAGTTTGGCTTTGCTCCTTTTCTCCTTCTTTTCTTCCTCAAAAACGGACTTTCTTTTGCGGTGAACTGGTCGTGGATTCTCGTCCGCCGTCGCGACAAACTTTGTGCGAACTGCGAGGAAGCGACAGTTTAAAAAAGCCTCTAAGAACCGCTGCATAAACCACATAATCCCAGCGCGCCGACGAGTCAGTTACACTAGTAAATGTAGGGAGTTTGATTGACAACCTAACAGCCAATAGATAAAGAGGGAGCCTGGTTTTCTATTGGCTGATGTTTATCTGGCCTCACTACGTCCACAGTTGATAGATTTTCATTCTTTTTTTTTTTCAGTCATCATAATTACAAGGCTGCTGTGTGACAATTTGAAACAAAAAACAAAAAAAAATCCTCCATACAACCTTTAATGCGCCTTATGTATGAAAACAGACGAGAGAATTCAACATTATTGATATTGCACCTTATAATCCGGTGCGCTTAGGGCCTGTTTACACGAGAACGCATGCAACTTTATTATTATTTTAAATCATTATTATTGTTGTTGTTAGGTAACTAAGTTTTAGTAATGTATTTTTTCATTATCACTGCTTCTTAACTCGTCTTTTAAATTATTTTTTAGTCGCTTCTTCATTCCACAGTGCCGATCTTTAAAATGGTTTTGGATACAATCGTCTTCAAAACTTTGCACATAGATTTCATGCACAATTTGTTCGTTTGCGATAAGAAAAAGGAGACCAAAAAAAACACACGACACGGTAAGTAAGAAGTATATAACCAAGTGTATTCCCTCTGTTAATGTACACATATTTAGAGTCATCTCACTGGAACACTTTACAATAACATTTAGAAAGAACAGGAAGATACTGGGAGGAGAAGGTTCTGGAATGGAGCAAAGAAGAAGAGACAGAAACGACGAAGTGAAGAGGCTGAAAATTCGTCTTAAAATAAAACAAGTAAAAAAAAAAAAGTATTTGCACATGGAATGGGAACGTACAATCCGGGGGAGAGGGAAGAAAAAACAAAACAAAAACAAATCAAAGATGAAAAATTGAAAATAGAAAGTGACAGATGGGAGGAAAGGAGTATCTCTGCTCTGTATGGTTCAAACCCAAATCACGTCTCTCAAATTTTGCAAAAACGAAAAAGACATAGAAATTCCCCCAGTCATTTTTTCCTCCTTGACGGGAATGAGCAAAGGGGAACACATTTCTCTTAGTTAATGGGATGAGAGTCAAATATTTAGACATTTCACAAACTTTTTTCGGAATTTTTCTTCTTTTCATGGTACTTTTTTATTAGCGTTGAGAAAATTCGGAATACTAGAGTCCGCTTGCCGTCCGCTCTTCCGTCGCCGCCCGTTTTTTCGAAAGCTTTACGTGAAGTCCGTACAGGCGTTCCTTTTCGTTTCCCTTTCCCCTTCCCTTTCCGTGGAACTCCGAAGCGGTTTCGCCGTTTCTCGACGAGTCTCCTGCGAAACGTCCTCGCGCCAAGATAAAAAAAAGAGAACTCGGGATCTCTTCGCGGTTGGTTTTTTTCCCACGTAACCGCAGCGTTTCTCGCGGACACGGTTCCGGGGGGGTGGGAATTTAACGAGGAATTACTGCAAGTGTTCGGAAAGGAAATTCTAAAATCCGTCTTCTCCGCTCCGTCGTTTTCGCGAACGCTCGATTCCACGCTCAATTATAGGTCCATAGATTTCTGTAACAACTGTCTATACATATATTTATACTTATATAGAACAAGTCTGCTGGAGGTTCATATGTTTTTCCGTTGGATTAGTAGTAATTTTAAGACAATTCCCCGTTGGAGCCCCAGAATCACATGACACTTATCTTGCTGGAACGAAGAGAGAGAGAGAGAGAGAGAGAGATAGGGGGGGCAATATTTATGGCGTCAAGTTTTTTGGCCGCTAACGTCAGCATCCGCGAGTCCGGACTTGGTTTGCGTCGTCACATAAGTTGCTACGTTTTTAAGGTTTGTTATGATCGATCGTCTTTTATTTTTTCCCCCCAAAAAAAAAACTCCACAGAAAGAAAAAAGATTCAAAGTTTTTTTCCGTAAATGAATACTACATGCTTGAAACGCGGTAGAGTTCTTCCTTCGGGGGCGGCGGCGGCGGGCAACCGGAGACGGGGGAAGGAGGAGAGAAGAAGGCGAGGAGAGACCGGGGGGGGGGGGGGTGTAAAAGCGAAGGAGTGGATCTGGAGATTGGCAGTATATGTGGGGTTTTTCGCCAAGACGTCAAGCTGGAATCTCGCCCGCTTCCAAAACGAATCCTTTCTCGTTTCAGAATACTGACAACGGCGCCTTACAGTACTACAGTTTTTAATAACTTTTCCGCGTACAGTACATCTTGTTGGAGTTGTTGGCACAGCGTGGTATGAAAATTGTAATATTTTTCAGTTTTTCAGGATTGTTTTACTCAAGGGAGGCTGCACCGCATACTGCACCGGGTTAGAATTACAATTTTGAGTTGGCGCAAAACTTGAAATTTCTTTAAAATCTCGAGGTCAACGTTGTAGTTTAGACCTCTACAAACGTGTTCTGAATTTCACGGGTTTCTAGAATTTGTGTATCAGTTTGTGTGGAGCTCAACAGTGACCGTCTACTGCAGTTTGAGAATAAAATTTTACGTTAATTTTTCCATAGATCAGACATGTCAGATTTGAAATTTGGCCCGCGAGATCACAACAAATCTGTATTGAAGCTGGTTAAAGATAGACTATAGAGACATTATTTATTTAAAATTTTGTTATTTTTTATATTCTGCTTCTTCTGGATTCAATGTTTAAGCAAAACTATTATTAAATTTTTATTTTAGTGTGAAAAGATTTAACATTACATATCTCGAAAGAAGAGAAAACGTGCAGATGTTGTTGAAAATGTTCAATAAATATTTAGTTTGGCCCACGATTTAGTTCCAGTTTTTAATTTTGTCCCTCTGTGAATTTGAGTTTGACATAAACTTTTCGAATAAATCCAAATATCCAAAGAGTTTAAATGCATCACTACGTTGTAACTATTATCATAACGCACTTGTTGTAAGCCCAAAAACGCAAGATTTGATGAAATGCTTTAATATCTTGGCAGTTTGTGGCAAAGGAGAAATTAAATTTGTCAACCGGACGAACGTTTATTTAGGTTGAAAACGTTTCGCGGCTCATCCAAGCTGCTTCTTCAGTTCTTCAGAGATAAAGCAGCAGCTTGGACGAACTGCGAAACGTTTTCAACCTAAATAAATGAACTGAATTTCTCCTTTGCCGTGAATTCTATCGAGCCTGATTCACCAACTTCGTGGAAACCGTCTGACCTCGCAGCGTTAGGATTCGTTCGCTCGACGGTAGGCGGGTACTTTTTTTAATTTAACTAATCGCTGCTGTTTGGTCGTGGCGTTCGTACTGCGCCAAATCCCGTAGGAAGAAGGACAATAACGTCTTTCCCCTTGATAAAATTCGCCAAACATTCTCTTTGCTCCGACTTTAAATCCTCGATCTCGGGAATCGTCGACAACACAGAATGTCTGTCTTCGTCTACATCCATCTCGACGCTTTGTTCGACGTTTGACAGACGCTCGAGTTTGACGTCACGGCTTCGCAGCTCTTCACTGATTGGTCGGTGCGCGCTCTACAACTTCCGCAAACTGTCTAGTGTATTTTGATTCCTGACCTTGTCGCTGGAGAGAAAAGAAATTGAGCGGAGGCACTGGGTCTGGCTAAATTCTACTTGAACGACTGAGAGATTCTACACACATCTTGAGAATTTGGCAGTTTAACATTAGTTACCACGTACGTTTTCCTCTTAAAATACCTTGACAAGACTTAACCCAAAGAACTAAGACTTAAAAGGGTTAGAACTGTTATTTCTTGGAGCAAAGGATCATGGTCTATGTAGTTCCCTTTGTCGTTTTTTATCTATTGCTGCACCATAACTCTTCATTTACGCAAAGAGACTTGTAATTCGATTTATTGTGACGGTCCACGATATTATTGTGAGAACTTTGACGATACGATATCACGATATTTTTCGGTTATTGTTACACCCCTAATATTTTTTGGAAACTCTATGCGAAAAGGAGAGTTGTCACTGTTGAGCTCCGTTTCTGTTAATCCTCAAAATTCCACTTTTTAAAAAACGTATCGCAAATCTAAACACAATCGCAATACTCGTCAGAAGAATTATATATTATTATTTTTTTTTTTTTTAAACTAATATCGTGCAGCCTTAGGAAACGCTCAAAAATCGACCTAAACTTCTACATTTTTATACGCACCATTGATGAAAAAACATGTAATTTTCGAATGTAAAACGTCAAAATAGTTTCCGACTGCGTTGCTTTTGAATTTCATCGATTTGTTATTATTTACGAATCTAATACTTTCAACCAATCTCGAGCAGACGCTTTCTAGAGCCTTTAAGTCGGGAGGATTTGGCCCGGAAACTCGATTCTACCGTCAAATCCTTCCCCAATGAGTCCCAAAATTTTCCTCGCTCGTTCGCCATTTCTTGCCCTACGAGAATTGATTGGATCTCCGATGGAATTCCGGCAAATACTGATCTCTGAAACGCTTCCGAGTGTCTCTCCCTCTCCTCCTCGCGTCTCCGGTTGCGTCCGCTCGGCTCCCTCCTCACACGTAGTACTCCTTGTCCTTATTCTTCTTGTTCTTGGTGACCGCTTTGGCAGTGCTGGGCTGTTTCTCCTTCACCAGGGTCCCGTTGCTCTGCGTGGCCGAGTTGCTGATGTAGTTGCGGCTCTGGTCCACCTGGTACGAGCCCTCGTCCCGGTTGCGGTACTTGTACATGGCGTAGAGCAGGATGAGGATGCACAACGCCGCCGCCGCTACGATGCCGACCACCATCCCCGTCGTGCTGCTCGACTGCTGGACCTCCACGGCTCCCGGCAGGCCTCGGTCCGGAGAGGTCGGATCTGGAGTGGGCACATGGGGGAAATTCGGGGGGTGAGTGATCCCGGGGATTCTGCGGTGCCCCGGGTCGGAGGAGGGGTGCGTCGGGGGTAGGAGGACCTGATCGCGCGTGTTCATTTTGCCCGCCGGGATGTTATTACTGTTGGGCTTGAGTCGCGGGCTTAGCTGGTCGGGCGGGGCGGTCGGGGTGGACGCCTGCGCCGGCGTTTTGGAATTGGGCAGGCGGGAGAAGTGGCGGTCGCGGGGGTTCTGCCCGACCACGCCCCCCTCCGCGGCGGCGGCGGGTGGCGGGGGGAGGACCGTCCTGTCGGTGACCATGGCGTTTTTGTAATAATCTTCGTCATCCGACTCGGTCATCTCCCCCGAGCCGTACGCCGACACCTCCATGGGCTCCTCGCAGTCCTCCTGGTCCATGGGGCAGGGGGGCCGGCCGTTGGGCAAGGGGAGGGACTCTTTGGTGGTTTCGAGCAGCGTGAGGAAGGGGCGGTAGGTGGTGGGGGGCGGGGGGATTACTGGGTAGCGAGTGGCGATGGAGGGGGGGTCTAGGGAGTCCACGGTTATTATGGGCAACACTAATTCACCTCCTAGGACAAGAAACAGAAAAGGGAAAAGAAAGTTAGGACCCGATCTTGCTCAGAACGTCACAGGTTAAAGGTTAAAGAACTCGAGTATTAGAACAGCACTAAGACTTCAGGTTAGTTACACTTTTCTAGTTAAATTAGGGTTAAACAAAATGTCAATTCTAGTCTAAGCTGAGCCTCTGACTATTCTCGCCGCTAATCTACAGGTTAGTTATTTTAAAACATCATCATTAGAGACAAAAAAGCATTTAACTAAACAGTTCAAAAGTCTAACTGTCCTGTGCTGACTGCCCTGACACTCACATCATTGTGCTGCTTAAATAAGAGAGCAAACCACGAGGTTCAGGTCACTTACATCAACAAATTGGCCGCATGATTTTTGCATGAAAAAAAAAATTACAAAAAAGAAAGCTGTGTAAGATTGTTCTTGGATAGTGATAAACATCTCCCCTCCCCGTAAATAAGTAAATAACACCCTCTTCCTCGCTCTTGTGGCAAGTTCGTCCCCCCATTACATTTTAACGTAAAACAATCCCATTCGCTCGAAGCAGAGGTGGGACCGAGTCGTCGTTTTTGTAAGTTTCGAGTCTTTGGAGTCAAGTCGCAAGTCAAAGGAAAAAAAACAATATCTACTTAAGTTAAATTGACTTAAATTTTACTTTATTTGAGTCGATTCAACTTGAAAAGTCAAATTATCAAACAATGGAATAAGTGTGTTTTTCTTATTTTAAGTGTAGCAAGATGTATTTTCATATTTTAAGACTTGTTTCAGATCTTGGTTGGTAGATTTTTTTTTACTTTTCAGATGAAATTTACCCAAATCATGATAAAAATGTCTTAATTCAAATCATCTCAACTTGGTTCGATTTGAGTTTTTTCAGTGCAGGGTGATCTTTAAAACAAAAAAATTCTAATTTGTGCCAAATTTGAACCTCAACCAAAGCATTTCAAACCAACAATGAAATAAAAAACAGTCGAGTCTTTGGAGTCAAGTCGCAAGTCAAAGTCTCGAGTCCCTGGCCCATACACTGGAAAAAAAACAATATCTACTTAAGTTAAAATGACTTAAATTAAGAACATTTCACTTTATTTGAGTCGATTCAACTTGAAAAGTAAAATTATCCACCAATGGAATAAGTGTGTTTTTCTTATTTTAAGTGCATAAAGTTGTTGGTTTTCTTATACATGCATCACGAATTTTGGACTTCCGGTCATCGTGCAAGCCACACTGGGAAGGGTTTTCCGAAAAAGTGAGCATCAAACAGCCGTGTTTGTTTTCCCAGTGGGATGTGTCTATTGACAAAGTCGATGTTTTCACGTGTTTTGAACCATGTCACTTTTGTTTCTGGTTCTGATATTGTCATATTTTAGTTTTGGGATTCGGACATCGTAACTGTGTGGTTGTTGGATCCTAACAGCGGAAAATGGGCTTCGGAAGTTTGCAAACTCCATAAACGCAAAAGGGAATCAGATGTGTGTGACTCAAACCTCCGTTCAAACTGTTTCTCTTCCCAACGGAATTGAAAAATAGTGAAAAGTGAAGGCGATGGGCAGGATTGATCCACAGGAAGAACCAAAAAGGAAACATTTGTCTGCCTAAGAAATCATCCCGAGTTTGCAGTGAACATTTTTTATGTGGAGCGACAACAAAGTAAAATCCCGATCCTTCACTCAACCTCGGTTACGAATTTAAAAAGTCAAGGCCAAAGTGAAAGGCTCCAACTGTTCACCAAGAAACACCTTCCACTGCAAAGAGACCAAGACGTGATGTTGCTGTAAAACCACAAGAACAAGAAAGTGCAGCTCAGTCTGTTTGTCTTCTGCTCCTCTCGCTTAACAAACAGGATTTTGTTTTGTTGTCGCTCCACATACAAAATGTTCTCTGCAAACTCGGGATGATTTCTTCGGCAGATAAATGTTTCCTTTTTGGTTCTTCCTGTGGATCAATCCTGCCCATCGCCTTCACCTTTCACTATTTTTCAATTCCGTTGGGAAGAGAAACAGTTTGAAAGGAGGTTTGATCCAGGACTGAACCAGGACTAAACCAGGACTGAACCAGGACTGAACCAGGACTGAACCAGGACTAAACCAGGACTAAACCAGGACTGAACCAGGACTGAACCAGGACTGAACCAGGACTGATCCGGACTGGCCCGGAGGTGCGCCCGCGTAGACTGTTGGGTGATCAGAACTGAGACCAAGAGACCGGGACCAGGACCAGGATCGAGACAGTGACTGAGACCAGGACCAGACCCTTACTGAGACCAGGACTGAGATCTGGATCAGATCAGGACCAGACCAGAACTGAGACTGGGAATGAGACCAGGACTGAGATTGGGACCAGATCGGGACCAGACCGGGACTGAGACAGGGCCCATACCAGAACTGAGACCAGGACTGAGACCCAGACTGAGACTGGGACTGAGACCAGGACTGAGATCAGGATTGAGAATGGGACCAGACAAGACAAGACCTAAAATAGACCTGAATTCAGACCGGGACCAGAAAGGGACCAGACTGGGACTGAGACCGGGCCCAGGACCAGGATCGAGACCGTGACTGAAACTGGGACTGAGACCGGGAATAAGATTGGGACCAGACCGGGACTGAGACTGGGCCCATACCAGAACTGAGACCAGGACTGAGACCGGGACTGTTCCTGTGGATCAATCCTGCCCATCGCCTTCACCTTTCACTATTTTTCAATTCCGTTGGGAAGAGAAACAGTTTGAACAGAGGTTTGAGTCACACACATCTGATTCCCTTTTGCATTTATGGAGTTTGCAAACTTCCAAAGCTCGTTTTCCGCTGTCAGGATCCAACAACCACACAATTACGATGTCCGAATCCCAAAACGAAAATATGACAATATCAGAACCAGAAACAAAAGTGACATGGTTCAAAAGACTTGAAAAGATCAACTTTGACAAAAGACGCCTCACACTGGGAAATGAAACATGAAGGTTTGACGCTCACTTTTTCGGAAAATCCTTCCCAGTATGGATTGCGCGATGACCGGAAGTCCGAAATTCGGGATGCGTGTATTTGAAGTGCAGCAAAATGTATTTTCATTATTCCACTGGCTGATCATTTTACTTGTCAAGTGAAATTTACTCAAATCATGATAAAACTTCCTCAATTCAAGTCATCTGAACTTGACTAGATTTTGTCTTTTGCAGTGTAAGTCCAAGTCAAGTCCAAGTCGTCTGCGTTGAACCTCAAGTCTTTAAACCAAAGTTTCAAAGACAGCTCAGATTTATGCAATTTAGATGAATTTTTTAAACTAAATTTTACTTAAAAAGTCATGTTTTTTCCTTTTTAATGTCTGGACAAGATCATTAAGGTCAGAACAGAAAGAATTCAGATTTTAAAATGCATTCATGAAATTTAAAGATCATGTTTTATATAGTTTCCTCTGTTTTTCTGTATTGTACTTTATTTTACTGCAGTACATTTGAGTATTACAGTACTTCAGTTCCATCCAAAGTACCAAACTGAAAAGTGGGAGCGACATGTTCCAGTTTGTTTCTGTAAAATTCATCATTTTTCAACTGTAAAGAGAAAAGTATTTTCTAAAAACACACATTTGGGAGAAGCATTAAGTCTTTTCAAGTCCGAGTCGAGTCCTAAGTCACAGACCTTCAAGTCCAGGTCACGACTCGCAGGTCCCCCACCTCTGGCTCAGAGCGTTAACATGGTAAAAACACACACATGCCCTAAACTTCCTTCAGTAAACATTTCAACCAAACTGAGCAAAAATGAGGAAAATTATGAACAGTTCAAATGACGTCAAATGTCATGAGGGGGAAAAGTTAGAGTTAAAAACAGTTAAGCAAATATAGAAAACATGTTCAACACTTCTGATCCCAGCGTCAGTCGTTCATTTGTTGTTCAAAATAAAACCAAAAAGAAGAAAATGAAAAAAAAAAACACAACTATTTTCTTCATTATTTGTCTCGAAAAACAAAATGAAAAAACGGATAACGATTTGTTTTTTTTCAGTTTTCGATTTTGTGTTTAAATGAAAAATGGAAAAAAAAAAAGATAACGGCTGTTTTCAGTTTACGTGACTTAAACTATGAACCAGGACTGAACCAGGACTAAACCAGGACTGAACCAGGACTAAACCAGGACTGAACCAGGACTAAACCAGGACTGAACCAGGACTGAACCAGGACTGATCCAGGACTGAACCAGGACTAAACCAGGACTGAACCAGGACTGAACCAGGACTGAACCAGGACTGATCCAGGACTGAACCAGGACTGAAACCAGGACTGAACCAGGACTAAACCAGGACTGAACCAGGACTAAACCAGGACTAAACCAGGACTGAACCAGGACTGAACCAGGACTAAACCAGGACTAAACCAGGACTGAACCAGGACTAAACCAGGACTGATCCAGGACTAAACCAGGACTGAACCAGGACTAAACCAGGACTGAACCAGGACTAAACCAGGACTAAACCAGGACTGAACCAGGACTGAACCAGGACTGAACCAGGACTAAACCAGGACTGACTCCAGGACTAAACAGGACTGAACCAGGACTAAACCAGGACTGAACCAGGACTGAACCAGGACTGATCCAGGACTGAACCAGGACTAAACCAGGACTAAACCAGGACTAAACCAGGACTGAACCAGGACTAAACCAGGACTAAACCAGGACTGAACCGGGACTGAAACAGGACTAAACCGGGACTGATCCAGGACTGAACCGGGACTGAACCGGGACTAAACCGGGACTGAACCGGGACTGAACCGGGACTGAACCTGGGGACTAAACCGGGACTGAACCGGGACTGAACCGGGACTGAACCGGGACTAAACCGGGACCAGGACTGAACCGGGACTAAACCAGGACTGAACCAGGACTGAAGACTAGGACTAAACCAGGACTGAACCAGGACTGAACCAGGACTGAACCAGGACTAAACCAGGACTAAACCAGGACTGAACCAGGACTGAACCAGGACTAACCAGGACTAAACCAGGACT